GTCCAATTAACTATAATTGTTCCTTTCACCGTAGATTTGATTTTACTAAAAATACAGTAACGTTTCAGTGCGTATCTTTTCACGTGTCGTTTGTTATGTTTGATTACTTTTATGTATCGTTATAAAAACTATGATCGGAAAAATTGTGTGCAGGACAAAAAAGGGGGAAAAGACATTACTACTTTTATCACTACTTTTCTGTGAAACTACTTTTTTGAAAAAATAAGGGAATAAAATACTAAGAATGAAGGTCTCACATTATGATGACACATTATACTTAGATTTAGAATAAAATATGTATAACAAGATTTACAAATGTTGATAGATCACCGTCAATATAAGATAATCGAAACATTCTTATAATTTCCCCAAAAGAGGCCTAAGGCGGCCTGGAAGGGTCACCTGTTTTAGCCTCTCACACCATTATACAGTAGTGTGTTGTCTGTCAATCAGTCAGTAGACACTAAAATAAGATCACATAAGGGACTATTAACTTTGCATTTTATTCTGTCGTGACGTCGGTAAAACGTGCGCATACCATGAATCACGAGAATAATTATGCACTCTGTAGGCTACAACACAGCATGACACATGAACTTCAAAAGCACGAAATAAAAATATTTGTTATTCTTAACTCTGGTTTTATTTACTCTTCAAACAGAACACTTTCGGAGACCCTGAAGAATTACATGTAGTATAAACTGTAATTCAATCATGAGTGACTGTTTTTAGTAATTCAAGTATCTGTAAGACCATGCACTATAAACAAACACTCCCTCAGTCTTTAAACAAACATATAGGCAAATGTTTCTAGCATACCAGTACAAGCTGAAATAATTGACATTCCGTCATCTGAATCAGACCAGTATAATACGTACTTATAAGTATGTTACGTAAGGTAATTTAAAAATAAACCTAGTTTAAACAAATAGCAGTTTCTTCTACATAATATCTCAGTGTTCTGGTTTTGAATGGGGGGGGGGGATAACAAGAAACGTTAACTTTTCCTCAAACTGATAAGTGTTTGGTTAATGTCCGAAAACTCTTTTTTTTTTTTTTTTACATGTGTGTAATTTCCAACAAGCTCTAATACACATATAACTAGAACTTTGTGTATTTACCATTGTGTGTGTTTGTGTACTCAAAATATATTTATAGTAAATCCTAATTAGTTATACTCGTGTAACAGCTAATTAGGAAAGAAAAGTCTGGAAACATTTAACAGACAAAAATAATTTCAAACACAAACAACTACTATAATAAAACTTAGTTTGCTAAGTAACCATGCAGATGGGGGATGAAATGCCACCATCAGAAGATACGTTTCGCTTGTTACTGCTAGGAGTCCCGTTGTATTAACCTGATTTAATTATATAATTCTATTTAATTTACAGCACAAATGGCTGCATACAGTTAACCGCAGTTTAAGCTATGAAGTGATGTGAGTTTGGGTGAGGAGGAGGGTACATTCTACCGTTCCATCATTATTTATCTGTTATATTTTATTATTATTGGCCCTACTGCTAAATGCTAGATCCGAATAAGCGTATTTAACTTATTTCAAAGAAAACTCCTAAACATTTTTGTACCGTCATTTTTTTTTTCTTTTGTATACATGTTCGATATTAAAAATAGTTTCCGGTCTTTCGTTCTCTCTCTCCCCTACTGGACAAAAGAAGTTTATGGTATGGCTTTTCAGAAATCACAAACCAAAGTTAAGGAAATTGATAAGTTTTTGTTTGTTCTTACGAAATG